ATAGCTAATAAATATTGTGTTACACTTCTCCAGTGCTGAACTGCAGAGCATTTAAATTTTAACTTCCTTTCATGCTGAAGGCAGGCTATTTATTCCTACTGTTTTCTTCATGAGCATTCAAGCCCCGTGACAGAATTTAACATATGGAAGCTCTGACTAGCTTTCAACTACAATGGACTATACCAAAGACAAACTAAATTCCATATATACAGTTCTCTCCCAGGTCTCTTCAATCTTTCACGAATTTCCTTGTAGTCAAAAGGAGAAGGAATAAGAATGATGGACTTTGAACCTGGATACACTATTTTTCATAGACTCACTGACTAATTCAGGCTGGAAGGGACCTCCAGAGGCCTCTAGGCTAATCTTCTGCCCAAAGCAGGGTCAGCCTTAAGATCAGACCAGGTTGCTTGGGGTTTATCCAGTCAGGTCTTGAAAAATTCCAAGGATGAAGACTGCACAACTTCTCCACTTTGTAAATTAGAAATCTGCTTCTACGCCACTTAGTAACACCAGAAGGAAATGTTGATGGAAGGGTTGATTAAAACTGCAGATACTGGAACCTGAGTCCTTTATAATCATTGTGAACCTTTCCATGGAGTTCAGGGGACTCTGGTATATTCAGTAAACATGAGTTGAGCCACACTCACGGCTTTCCTCCTTGCAGAGGGGATGTCTTCAAGCACTGGATGCCCACTAGGCCTAGTTATTATAGAAGACACAAAAAGATTATAAATCGTTCTTTCCTACTTGGAAATTATGTGCATCACCTTCTTACTGTACTTTCATCCATCAGGCAGCTTTAGTTTGACATTTGTAGCTAAAGCATTCAAGAAAGCTAGAAATGGGTTTCATGAGCAGTATCAACAAGTTAATTAGTTAAACTGTGATTTTTTTTCCCAGTTTTTACACTAGTCTACACCTCTGAGTTTCTTCAGACAGCTGTTATATTAGTTATGCCTAGTCCTGTCCCTGAGCAAAGACTTTGAATGTTTTTCTACTTCTGTTTCTATGTTGCTTTGATTTTTCTGTGTATGATTTTTCTGTGTTGGAGTAGCACTGGTGCAGACTGAGAAAGCTGTATTTAAGAAATCAGTGTCAAGAACACTGCCATAACTCTGCTGGTCATTGTTTTCTGAATTCACTAAGAGGACAGCCCAGGGCTCTTCTGAATCCAGACTGTGAGTTTGCTCTTTGCAAAAGTCCTTCAATTTCTCTTATGAGCTCTTTCAAGGTATTTGGATTATGAAATGAATGTTTCAATTCATTCTCTTAGCTAGGGATATGCATAACAGGAAAACCCTGAAGTTAAGGTGCTGAATTTCACACCCTGTTGTTTGAACATGCTTGCTAGGGGGGAAAATGTTTTCTGAAAAAAGTATGTGTAGTCAAAACAGAATTTAACTTAATTAACATGTTTGAATGCAAACTGCTTAACTGAAGAGGTTTTATCTTTTAAATTCACGTCCTTACCTAAACAGTGTTTTTACTGTTTAAATGAATTTAACTGTAGTATTTTTTTAAGGGAACTAGCTGTCTTTTGTATAACAGATGCTGCAAGCCCTCCATTCTGAATATAACCAGTAATTTTAGTTGCAATGCTCCTGCCAAGTCTTCCCATTGACTGTGTTGAACCCTCCTTGCCCTATATGTAGCAGGCAGCAGTCAGGGCAAGGGCAGAGCAGAGGCCTCGTTCCTCTGCAGTCTTTGGAGCTTTCAACAGGATGCTTCTGGAGAGGAGAGCTTTTAGTGCCACACTGTAAAACAGGAATAACCAGATAACAGAGTGCTGCTGGAAAATCAGCTCTTTTGATGGTGACCCTGCGCTTTGCTTTCTCACCTGCCATGTGAATCTATGCATCATGTGCATCTTCAGGCAAGTGATCCCAAAGCAGCAGCATCTTACTTAAGAAACTTGTTCACCTTCTGGCTTTAGTTAGCCCATAACTTTCATTGTCTGTAAAAGCAGTTTAAAATAGCCTGTTTTGAGACCTGAGACCCAGTTATGACTCTACCAAGTTGCCTCAGGGATAGGGGAGTTGGGCTGCTCTGCAGAAGGCACTTGACCCTGTTGTTCCTGCCCCCAGCTACCATCCTGCCTCTGCACAAAAGGAGCAAAGTCAGCAGAGCCTACAGTAGGGAAAATCCCTTAGGTAGGAAAGGCTTTATGGTCTCTGTGCATCTGTACCAAGTATCAGCCATTGCCTGAATTAGTCACAGAAAGATAAACACAGATCTAATTTTACCACTTTCTGAACATTACAGATGCAACTGCATGAAAAATATATTTGATGAGACATACAGTTGTCAAGCGGATTTGTCGATGTCTTTTCTGGTGGCAATAAAAATGTAAAGTCTATTTAATGGTGCAATACCATAGCAGATATTCAAATTGTTTAAACTTGTCTTCTTCAAAAAAAAAGATAGAAAAGGCACAGACTTGTAATGAGCAATCCCTGTGTGCTGCATTGTTATACACATGGCAGTAGCTCATAAAGCTGAATTTTTCCTTTTGATTGGTTTTATTATCAGTGAAGTACTAATGCTTGTAGCATTACAGTTCTTAATTTTTATTTTCTTAAACTGGGGAAAACAGTTTGTAGTGATGTTGAATCTATCACTGGTTTTAGGAAGCCACTGGAAGGCCCTAATGTCCTTGCATGTGACCCCCAATCTTTTTAGCCACGTGACAAGAGCAGAGTCAGATTGTCCTTGTTAAACTCTGTGAAGAACAAGTTTGAAACATTTAATTCAACAGTCAAAACTATGATGTGTTTATTTCAATTGAAAGTCCTTGCTGTATTTTCAAGTCACGGATTAACCACAAAAACTGTTCAACATGAAATCACAGTTCCAACTCTTATCAGAAAACAGTTATCAAAACCCAGAAGTTGTTTTGTTACTAGCAAATATATTTGACACCAGCTGAACAGTAGCTCTTCCAAAAACTGTCTCATCAATTGAGAGTTTAAATAGAACATCGCATACGAAAATATGTATAATTTCCTACAAAAATGAAACCAAGTTTTATAATATAAGCAAAGATATTTAATCTTACAGTTCACAACTTCACCCACATTAAATCAGAGGAAGGAGAGGTTTTGATATGGTGAATGATATGACAAGTGACTATAGGGGAGAGGAAAGAGACAAGTCAGAGTTCAGAGGTTTGTGGGTGACATGGGCTCTAGGGGAGATTTCACCTTATATTACAGATATAACTAGAACTGTTGCTGAATCAGGCAATTATAGATAGCCTGTAAGTTGTACAGAAGAAATACAGTATTTCACACTGAAATATTGTTACAATTTTAAATTTCCATTCCAGATGGTAATTCACAGTGAGATCCTTTTCCTTACACAGACACATACACATCCTACGTTATTTCCAGATGTGCAGGGAATGATTCAAGGTAATTTCTTATTTACCCAATATTTCCCCAGCTGCTGCTACACAAATTGTAAAGGTAATCTTAACGTACTTCACAATTTTGTATGATTCTCAGGAAGGGCTGGAAAGCATGGAATTCAGAATACTAAACTGTAAGCTCCCTTCTTTAGTCAATACAGGTGTGGAGTTTGGGTGATGACTGAATTCATGTCATGCAAGCAATATACGTATTACAATTGCTATTACTATCTTATTCCTGTATGATATTTACTTCAAAAGTCATTCTCTAATTAATTTTTTTTTTTTAGAAAAAGTGTTCTGGTGTAACACATTTTCCTTTTGCAACATTTCCCTTTTTTTCTTTATTCCATTTGTGTGCATATTGAACAAAACTTGTTAGCAAAATCTAAGTATGTCATAGTATGTGTTTCAGTCAGGACGGGATTTCCTAGAAAATGTTTAAATGGAATAATCAAGCCATCTCTTGGCTAAAAGAAATTACACAGGTTGAAGTGTTTGGAGTTCATTTGCAGACCTACCCAACAGCTTATTTTAACAGTTTACTGTGCCTTTTCTTTTGAGATAAGTGGAAAATTCAGCCCACAGGGCAAATGTTTTGCTCAAGGTGGACACATCTCCCACTCTGGCAGTGCCACACCAGGAGCACGGCTTTGAAACTGCATGAACTACGAGTTGGTGGTGAAAAGGCAGAGCCACACAGCACTGCCACATCACACTCACCAAGCTGCAGGGTGAGCCAAGCCAGGGACCGATCCAGGCTGGCAAAGGGAAGAGATGAGTCTCCCTAGGACAGGTCTGCACCATGAGCAACGATGCTGGACCAAAAAAGAGGGTGGGAATGCCCAGTGGTGGTGGAGAAAAAACTGTCTTCATCCCTTCTGACAGCAGCATGAATATATGTCAACAGAAAATTATCCTGAATGTGTAGCTCTCTAGGGCAATATTGATGCCTGGTCCCAAAAATGGCAGAGTTGAGCTGATGTATCAGCACATCATAATCTCCATCCTCCCTTATCCCTGCTCCTTTCCTCAGCATAGTACCTGCTGTTACAGACAGCCAACTGGGGATTGGATTTGGGGGGCTAAAAAGGAGAGCTGTGAGACTTACCTCATTAGCATAAGATAGCCAGCAAAACTCTACAGTAGGTGGGTGATCGTGCATGTGAGCATGGCAGATTAGCAGGGCCTGGCAGAAAGGGTAGATCACCAATGTTTCTAATTAAACAAATTCTTAGGTCTGTCAAATGTAGAGTCCCTGATGCAATCAGACACTTCCTAGATGCAAATCTTCTATTTTGTTGTTCCCACTGCTATAAAGAATAGAGTACATTATCTTGAAAACCAAATCCATCTCAGTGCTAACCATATGAAAACAAAACCACATGAATGTGAATGAACAAAACCACATGTTTTTTCAGGGCAGTAAAAAGATTTAGATAAACATAATTTGCCTTTACTTATGATATGGTTTTCTCTGGTTTTGTAATGATTTAAGTGACTTGGCCCTCATACCCAGGTGGGAAAAACTTTAAAATCACAGGTTGTCTTTGGGTATGAAGTGTAACACATTCCTTAACTTATTTTACAGGGACATCAAACCTGACAACATACTACTGGATGAGCATGGTAAGTGAATATAGACTACTTTCTCTCAGATACCTCCAATTCTTGAGATCTCAGTGACATGCTCATGACATGCTTTGTAAATCAGCCTCAGATGTTGGATTCCTACCTGAATCTGGACTTTCTCTGCAAAGTTCTTCTGTCCATCTTGTGGATTTTTGCAATTTCCCCTCCTACTGAAAAAAAAAAAAATGCTGATCTGACGTTTGCAAGACTTGAAGAAGAAGGAATTTAATATGAATTGAGATCACCAGGGACACCTGATTAAAAAAAAAGTTAATATTTTATTAACAGAATTCCTGTGAATCACCACAATCTCTTTTTAGGGACCTACCAGGAGAATAGTACACCTGCAGACAAGTGGTGAAACAACCATGCTTCTCTGGACTTGCAGACAGACCTTGGTCAGCAGACTTAATTAGCTCATGAGTTCTTTGTTCACAGACCTGTGATGTGGTTGGGAGATGTAACTCTCTCAACCTGCAAAAGGGTCCACACACTTCATTCAACTCATTAAACGAGGTGACAGGAGAACAGGTGTCTACCGTGCTTGTCACCACAGGCTTCCTTTGCAGATAACTGAAAGACATATACATGCTTATATCATTGATCTCTTCTGGATGTCTGCACTATACACCAGTATCTATTTCTCTTTGGTGATTAATATCTAGGAAGTTTTGAGTAAAAATATAGATATCAACCTTATAGATGTACATTTTGCAAGATGAATGCTATCCTTGAAGTCCATAAAAGCTTTGATTTAAGCTGCAACACGGTACCACCATTTTTAGGGAATCATCAGATTTCATGTAAAGGAAAAATATGTTGAATATGTGCCCCATAAATATGTTACACAAAATGTTATGGAATTGGACATGCACAATATTTAGGACAGAGATTTTGTCTCAGTGAGTTAGATTTTTTTGACCTCACTGAAGAAACCTGTTTTGGCTGAAGTCAAAGTGAGGTGTTATGCCATTTACATTGCCTTACATCTTCAAGCGGTTAAACTGACTGACTTTCACAACATTTACCAGGATTACAGATTATAGATATTCCTGCTCATTAAGACTAGTTTCACTGCTATTTATCTGTATGGCTTAGGGAACTTACCTCAGGAATGCACAAGTAGTGAAAACAGAGGATTTTTCTTAACCTATAAAAATGATTTAATCTACAAAGAAAAAAACTCATTAAAATGTATACATTTTAAAAATCATTCTGGAAGGAATGCCTGAATTTTCCCACATACTTTTCAGCAAAGCCATATCTCAACACTGCTGACCACAGGTTCTGATGCATCAATGGAAATAAATATTTGATGACCACAAGAAGCCTCATGCTACATGAGAATGGGATAATCAGCTGCTTAAAACAGTGTTCAACCCTTACCAGAAGATTGCCTGGTCTCCTGGAGAGATTCTCCATCCCATAGAGGAGTCTCCTTTGAGGAGAGAAATTAAGGATGTTTTCAGGGTTCACTTTCTGAACTGGAATCAGCTTTCCCAGAAAGCTCTTCCTCTTGCAACTAGCACTAATCTCTAAATTTAGTAGTAGTGTGCTGTTCTGCTAACATGCATCTGAACCAGAATTATTCTAGTGATGATAGCTGAAGGGACTCCCTGATGGTTCAGGAGAGCTATCATTATTGTATTGTACAGAGAAAAGTGTTATAGAATACTCTTAATAACGGTATTCTGCTTCCAGTAGTATTTGTCTCGTTTTAATGGTTTAGAACAATGTAACTGAAATGGCAGTGTTTAGAACTGAAAACTGGCAAGTCTGGTCCATGTATTTTTTTCTGAAAAATATCAAAAAAGTTAAATATGTCTTTAAATCTTTCTATGATCTGTTAGCTAAGGAAAAACATGGGTGGCAAACAGATTAGTACATTGCCTTTTTTTCAGAGATTATAACATTATTTATACAGATATTTGATATTATTGATATTAACATTTCTGGTCATTCTGCAGAAACTACGAGATTCTACTTTGGCATCTGGGTTTTGCATTGTGCAGAGTGACCACACCATTGTTAACACTCTTGTCTACAGCAAATTTGCAAAGGTTTGATTTTCTCTCAGGCAAGTTTTTCAGGACATCATTTCATAAGGCCCAGCAAAGTCCCTGCTTGGTTTACAGAGGAAGAACTGTCTGCTGGGTCAGAGCCAAGACCTCAGCTGGTAATCTGCCACAGCCAGTGGCAAAAGGAGATACTAAAAATGGAGGGTGCCCTTTGCAACTTCTAGTCATCATGGTTCAGTGCTCCCCATCACCCACAATTTTTTTATTAGGATATTAGGGTAACTCTGTATATTCCCATTAGAATCTCGATGTACCTTTGTTAATGAATTTGTCTACTGCCTCTTTGAAGCTGCTGTTGATATTTGTCTCTACAACCTCCTGAAGCAACAAGCTGTGGAACTTCACCATCCTTCATGAAAAAAAAAAAAAAAAAAAAAGTTTACTGTTTTGAAACATTTTCCTTTCAAATACCATCCTCTACTTCTGGAATTGCTGGATTTGGTGAATAATTGCTTATAATCACAACCTTTGTGATATTCAAAAAATCCTTAGTGCTCTCCTGTCTCAGCGGAAGACCGCAGCTTTTTAAATTTCTCCTTACAAGACACTGCTCTGTTCCCTTTGCCCCTCTCTGTTGCCACAGATGGTGTTACAGATATACAGGCTTTCAGTTCCAGAGCAGAAGAGCAAACATACTGGATCAAAGACCCATCTAGTTGAGTTTCTTATCTCCAAGAGTTGTCAAAAAGTGAATGACAGAGCAGGATATAAAACGAGGAAAGTTTTTGTGGTACTTCCCCCGTGTACTCACCCAGACTCTAGCCTTAGGCATTTCCTGAGCTGGTTATGGTTCCCACTCATTTAATAACTTTCAGTGGTGCTTTCCATGTTTTTTCTGGTGCTTCCTTGAGTGGAGGGAATGTTTAGCATCCTTAACATCTTGTGTGGCAAATTGTCCTTAGCTTAAACATAGATTATGTGAAGACTCGCTACCTGTTTGTTCATTTTGGAGGTGCTATCTGCCAATAGCACTGAATGCCTCCTACTTCTAGTCTTGCAACTGCTTCCTGGTGGTTCTCCATATTGAAAACACAGACCTAATATTTCACTCTGAGCCTTAATAGGAGTAATTCTTTTTATTAGGGTTTGTTTGTTTTTTTAATAGACTGGATCTTTCCATGTATGTTAGTGATAATTTTGCTCGGTAACCATTTCTGTTATGAGAGAGCAAGGCAGATTCAAGCTGGCATTTGTGTGTGCCTCTTTATGTATCACTATATTGTTTTACGATCATCAGTTTTTCTTAAAACTCTATTTCCTTGACTACATGAGAATCTCAGCTCTCACTTGAAAACTAACAGCAAAATTGAAAAATGCAACCAATGAGCAATCCTGGTCTTTAAACAAAAAATAGGATTAAAAAACCACACATAAATTAAATATTTAGAATCCTGATGTTATCTTCTGAACAACAGAACTGACAATATTATTACTCTATAGTGATGTCTGGGAGAAATGAAGTCTCCACTAAGGAAGTACCTGGTGTAACTGCCTTAGGGCTGGTCCTCATCATGCCCACAGACAATTTTCAGGGACTGTATGTCATTTAACCTTCTGATGTTGGTTAACAAGATGAGTGTTCTCAGCGTAACTCATCCACCTGAAGCTATCTACGCTTTGAAAATATATTTGAAACTTTTACATGCCTCCCTGGCCATTAAACAGCCTACTCTTGAAACACACATCCTCGCTGAACCCATCTATTGCAGTACAATACGGTTTCTAACAATCTCCCTGGTGATTAGTGGCAGACTGACGAGTCACGCCAAGTTCACGTGGATACGAGCTTACACTTTTGTACATAGTACAGACGAACCCAGAGAGATACTTTTTAAATTGTTCATAGGGCTTGACCTTCTGAGAGCAAACCTGAATTTGCTCCAAAATGTTACTGTGTTGAGACTTCCCATCAGCTCTGATGCATGATGAGTCAGTGGCATTAACTCTAGTCCATTATTTCTTCTCTGCCCTCACATTCACCCCTTTTGGTTTCAGACTCTGAAAAATTCAGTGAGGTTTGAAGTCAGGTACATTTTCCTCTGCTAAGCTGTTAGTCAAGCAGCCTCAGCCACCTGTCAGGACTTTTAATTGTCATTACAATTTGTTCTCATTTACCAAAACTAAATAACAGTCCACATAAAGAGCATTTGCTGTTTACTTCAGATACTGGGATTTCAGGCCATGTGGAAGAGTGAGGCATAAAAGCTACACAGCACTTCTGACTTGCATGCATAAAGCTTCTCAAAGTCATAGACTGTGCTGCAGGTATTAACTTACAGGTTTCCCCACATTCCAGTGAAATATGTGCAGCCTGGGATGATTTGAAAAAGGCACTCTGCAGCAAGCCAGAGGAATGTGGTCATTTGCCTTTTCTTCCCTTTTCTCTACCATCATCTGATTATCATACGGGGTCATGCAGCCATGGGGATTAAGCAATGAGCTCTTAAAATGAATTTAGTTAGGTACTGCTGAATCTGTTGTGCACTGCTCTCCTTCACAGCTCTTCAAAGCCAAAACCAAGTTGAACTGATATACTGTTTAGTTCAATATTGTACCTGGTACCTGTGAAGGGAGGCAGGGCACAGTTTAGATGTCAGTTTAGACATTTAGCTGTCCACAATAATATTCAGAAAAGGAGACCAAGTACAAGGTGTGAAGCTCGGATGTGAAAACATCGCCATGAATTGGAATTTTAGAAACAGTATGAAGTAGCCAGCATCCCAGCATATTTACTGCAGCAATAGCAACCTTTTTTTCTCCTATATGTAACACCTGCGGTAAAAAAGATGGCTTAGAGGCTGATTATAAATAGAGAATTGAGGTCTAACTCTCTCGAAATATTCACATCAGGAATGAAAAACTTAAAAAACAAAACAAAAGTCACTGGGCTTAAAACAGTTGAAACAATTTAGCGGTGTGTCCAGGGAACCAGAACTCTGCCTCAACATCCCTCCAGCTCTCCTCCATTGCCAACAGGCATTGGGGGTTCATTCCCCACCACCACGTGCTCTGACTCCATCCCAGACACAGCCCCTCTCTGTGCTTCCAGATCCCACCAAGCGCTGTGTGCAGTCCCTGCAGCAACACAGCCATCTGCCTGCCTACAAAACACCTTCCTTTCCCTCCATAGCTAATTAACAGCACTCTAAGCAACAGGCAAAGGCTGCCTGCAGGCAGGCCATGGGCCATGGGGTGCCCACGCAATGGGGAAGAGCAAAGGTGGAGCTTTTCCAGCGGTCCAGACACAGCTCTGTACACACTGCTGTGTGTACAGGAGCTGCCCATTGCTGCTGTATCGACAGCAGGATGCAGAGAAGCTACGCAGAACCCATCTTCCCACTCCATCCCTTACCTTGCAGAAAGGCATTTTTACAAAAACCATCAACCAGTGTGTACAACATTTCGCATGTGCTATTTTGGTTTTGTTAAATGGGAAGAAATCTAATAATAAACAATGCACTGCAGGAGAAGCAATTTTCATTGCAAATCAACTGTTTGGATCAGTCTGAATGGATATTATGCGATAGGTGTTTTGCAACAGGCTATCATGCTGGCATTCTAATAGGGATCATCACTTACAATGTTGTCATTTACATGACAGAACTTTATATTTATCTGTCAAAAAAGAGAAAGTATTAGTCTGCCGAGATCCTTGCAGGATTTCATTCTACAGCATACATAGTTGCTTAAAAATACTGCCATGAGGTGTGTGAATGCAGTTCAATTATCTTTTTCAAGAAGTTGTCTGTTATTATGTTTTATTATTGAAGAAATAAACTGCAGACAGTCTATGCTTCAGCCCCCAAAAAGGAGGAATGCCACCTTGAAATGTGACAGCAGGCTAATTCTTGTTATGGCAGCCTAATACCTCCCACCCCTTATAAAGTGATCGCTTTCATCTGCTCACTGTTTTTGACTGTTGTGCACAGATGTCTTCCTGGGCTGGGTGTCTTAGGAGGAAAGTGTCAATAAATTGTAAGCAGGTTTTTTTTGAGAAAACTGCAGAAAGCATACAAACTTCTATTGTGTCACCCATTTGGAGAAATAGCTTTAATTTTGGCAGTGGGATGTGCCTTCTTCCTTTTTCCCTTCAAAAGCAGGTCAGATCTGGACAAATTAGGGTATTCCGAGAATTTCAGTTCACATGTGGGGCTGCAGACTTCTTGGAGGTTGGCAGATACATTTTCTGTGGGC